CTTCTAGACTCGAAGTTTGTTTGTTATTTATAGAAGTACATTGTGGCACTACGCACCACGTGTAGCTCATTTTTAAAAGAAAACCAGAGCAGAGGAAATAAAAAACGTAAAAAATACGCACTACGACTTCAATTTCTCTTCTAAATTATTATTTCAATTTACTCTAAAGACAGTAGTTACTAATCGATTTGACATATTTACTGGCCTGTGACGTCACGATCAGCGCCATTACATAAAGAAGCGTTTATCGCGCGCTTTTGGCTATTTAAATTTTAACAATTATTTTCACCAAAAATAGAAAAGATTCCAATGAAATATTATGACAGTGTGTTTATAATGTAGTAAACACAAAGTAAACAACGATTTAAAAAACGTTTTCAGAAAAGTGTCAAATACTCTATTACGGTGAAAGGATCAAAACCAGTCATGTAATATGATTGAAGAATATAATTAAGCTCGACATGGCGGAGCGCTTCCCTGCCCCCAGATATTACATACTGATTTCAAATATAAAAAAAAACTTGTTTGTTTTATTTCTTATCGCTAAGAAGAGTAATCTAACAATATTTTTCTACAAGTGAAGCTGACACTTTTTGGATACCACGATGTGTTTCTGAATGAATTATGATTATTTTAGTTTGTATATTTGTAAACGGCGTGTGTTTGATAATTGTTAAACGATTATTTTCGTCATGCATGCATTAATTTCACGACATTAAAGTACTATAAGTTTCAGTTTCGTGCGCTGTGCTGCGCATATTCTTGATGAAATTAGTTACACGCAAATAATTTCTCCTCGATTTACATTTTCAAATTAATATCGCGTCATCATCTATGTATTGTAAATTTGGTTATTCAGAAAACATTTACTTACTTAAACATATCTGGACCTGAAAAGCATTAGGTCGGATGTGCAGAACCAGCTAAAATCACTTATCGCCATAACGTTGCTACACTCTTTTTTCTCTTTCCGGCAAATTAACTCTTGTATGTTTGTGCCTTTTTACTCATGAGCAACAGTCATGCATAAAGTCGGATCAGACGACTTTTTCAAATATTTTGATTGCATTTAGCTATTTCTGTTTTTATACAGTTTTTATACATCCGACCTAATGCTTTTCAGGTCCAGATATATATCTCGAGGCCCAGTGACAAATTTGCTAGGGCGGTCATATACACAGAAATTCCAAATCTGATAAATGATATAGTGAATTTGATCAGGACCGGGTATCAAACTCGATGCCTCAGAAAGAGATCGGCGATAGAAGAGGTCACAACACCTGTTGCGCGTGTAAGCAACTGACCACTGAAGTCGGGAATCGAATCTGGGACTTTAGATGAAATAATAAAAGTGATGCACAGAAAATTTAATGGTTTTGTACTTGTTTTGTGTTATTAGAAATTGGTTGTGGGTTCATAGTCATTTTCAATTACGAAGTCTCTATTTCTGTTTGTGTACGAGGGTCAAACTGAAAGTTCTTAGAACTGGCCACTTATAAACAATATATTAAAAAAATAATTCTAAAATTTGAAAATATAACTCTTTGCCAATATTACTGAGTATATATTTCATTCATTTGTCATTTGTTTTACGATTTGGCGGCAAATTGAAAATTGTCTGTGTCACGTCATCATGAATTTAACACGAGAAAATTTTCGTGCAATGATTTTTTATGACTTTCGATGTCATTTAAGTCAACAAGAAAGTTATGATAGACTACGATTGGCCTTTCACGATGAAGCCCCATCTCGTGCGACTGTTTACAACTGGTTTAATGAGTTTAAACGTGGTCGCACTAATCTCACTGATGATTTACGTGAGGGACGGCCTTCTACGGCGACGACTGAAGATAACATCTGTGTTGTGCGGCGTATGATAGAGACTGACAAAAGAGTGACCTATCAACAGATTCGGACAAGCTTAGGCATCGGTATGAGTCAAGTGCACAAAATCCTCCACGAACATTTAGCGGTCAGGAAGCTTTGCGCCCGGTGGATACCTCATAATTTGACTGAGGCTCAAAAACTCCATCGTGTGGATTGGTGTCGTAAAATGATTGAAAGATTTAACGGAGGTGACTCAAATGCTGTGTTCGACATACTAACAGGTGACGAAAGCTGGATTTACTGTTATGATCCTAAAACCAAAAGACAATCTGCTCAGTGGGTGTTTCCTTTCGAGGAGTTGCCAACTAAAGTGAAGAGAGATCGAAGTGCGGAAAAAAAATGGTGGCCTCGTTCTTTGGAAGGATAGGTCATTTTGCAACAATTGTGTTAGAGGATCAAAAAACAGTTTCTGCAGAATGGTACACTACCAATTGTTTGCCACTTGTCTTGGAAAAAGTTCGAGAGAAACGACCTCGCAGTAGGATCCTCCTTCACCACGACAACGCCTCGTCGCACACCGCCAAGCGAACGATCGACTATTTGGCGACATCAAACGTTGAATTACTGGGTCACCCGCCGTATAGCCCCGACCTCGCGCCTTGTGATTTTTATTTATTTCCAAAAATTAAAGAAAAACTTAAAGGAAAGCGGTTTATGAATGCTGAAGAAGCGGTGGCTGCGTATCGCGATGCCATTGAAGAGACCCCTAAGGACGAGTGGGCAAAGTGCTTTTCCCAGTGGTTCCATCGCATGCAGCGGTGTATTGACGTGAATGGACAATATTTTGAAAAGATATAATAAAACTAATAACTGGCTAATGTAATCAGTTTTTGATTTTCTAAGAACTTTCAGTTTGACCCTCGTATTTGTCAGGTTTAACTGTGTCGCAGATCTAACGCGTTAACCATTGCGCTATTTATCACATTTTATAATTACCAAATTATTCGTTACTTACTGTTTAACAACAACTTCGCTCGCGTAAAATATAGCCTATGTTACCCGGATATGATGAAGCTTCCCGTAGGTGAAAGATTTTTCAATTTGAGATAAGTTATTAATATTAAAAAAACCACTTTATCGCTGCCATATACATATATCCCATCTCAGAATGCAAAATCAATCAAATATAATAAGTTTTTTATAGTTACGGGCCTTAAACTTTATAAATAAAAAATGGTGTTTTTTTTATAAATAAAAAACTTTGATCTAATTTCTTAGCGAATAATTCCATAAATATTTTTTAACAACCTGCATAAACATAATGTTACTCGTTATCATGCTTTTTAAAGTACTTTTTTATGACGTGTCGAATATCGATACCGTGACTAATTAAATATTTTTCCGATGTAGGCAAATTCTAACTGATGGATGTGGCATTGTGGCATTATATTACAGCGGCTTCGCCCATGTTAAACCACTCTGTATGAAAACTGCATTAAAATCTTTTGTGCGGTTTCAAGATCTCAACGTACAGACAGCGGGAAGCGAGTTTGTTTTAACTATGTTTATATAAAATTTTAAACCATAATGTTAGCGTCTCAAAATCACAATCGGAGGCAAAATAATTATTTTTATTGTCTTTCTCTAAAAGGTAATTCCTGTTAAGGTAGATTGCGTATGCATTTAAATAATTTCTCTAAATATTAATTATATAAATGAGTTATTGGTTTAATGATAAATCTTCATTATTTTTATTATTATCCAGTTTATATTTTAAACATGTTTTATAAATACCTTTTACTTGCTACGCGGCACATTGAGAACGGACGGCCGGTATATCGCGTTTTGTAAAGATAAGATAAGATCTTTATTTGCTAGAATACAGTTAAAAGGTCACAAAATTAAATAATGAGATACAGTATTCTACCCGAGAACAGGCGTGCAAATATTCTAATCATGCAATTTTCTTAATGTAGTAATTTTGCAGTTACATTTATCATTTTAATAGGAATATGATAATAAATTTGTGCTTAATATTATGAAGTCTTCATTCCTTATAAAGCAATAATTATTCAGGAAATTTTTTATTCAATAATATTATCGTAGGTAGATAAGAGATTTTAACAGATAACTTATAGTAATTTTCGCAGTTTTTTGTAAACAATAAAAACGTTACTCTCTTACTTACTCTATGAATAATAAGATTGTTTTTATTTAATCAATTATATTTCATAATATTGAGGCAGCTACGAACTATACGACTATATACAAGTAAGAAATAACATTCTATGTTTTTAGTAGATTTGGTTTACTAGTAGCTTAATCCAGAAAGTCGAGAAAATTCCATCAAGCATTTTATGAAAATCTTTCTCTACAATTTAGGTTTAATTAAAAGTAACGCTCAATTTAGAAAAAGTGAAGCCGGGTTATGCTAATTGTTTTTATGCACTATTCAATAAGTCAAAAACTAAACATATATAATTCAAAGGTGACTGACTGATATAGTGATCTATCAACGCACAGCCCAATCCATTGCACGGATCGTGCTGAAATTTGTCATGACGTAGGCATCCGCTAAGAAAGGATTTTGATCAATCCTATCCCCAAGGGGATAAAATAGGGGATGAAAGTTTGTATGAACCTTTGTCAATCTTAAACCGATCGAACTGAGACTTTGCATGCATAAAGCTACTATGACGTAGGCATCCCCTAAGAAAGGATTTTAATCAATTCTACCTCCAAGAGGATGAAAGTTTGTATGAAACTTTGTCAATTTTAAACCGATCGGGTTGAGACTTTGCATGCATAAAGCTACTATGACGTAGGCATCCGCTAAGAATGGAATAAAAATAAAAATTCCACCCCTAAGCGGATAAAATAGGGAATGAAACTTTATTTATTTAAAAATATTCGTTAGAAATGGTGCTCAAAGTAACACGCGTAGGAAGTCGCGGGCAAAAGCTAGTTAATTAATATAAACTAATGATATTTGACTTTGAATTATTTTCATTTTTAAGCTTTTTCTGTATTGTTTGCAATTCATAAGATACTAGCAATACATTTGCAAAGCAAGACAATGCATTAGCAATAATTGCATATATTTGCATTATAAAAAACATTTTAAAAGTTTTCGTTAAGGCTGGAAATAGGATGGGTTCATGGTAACGCACATAATGCCATTGGTCCTGGTTGCATACGCAGTTGTTAACACCCACTTACCCGCACTGGGCCCCGTGGTGGGTCATAGGATAGCCGATTTATTCTATTCTAACCATAAAGAAAGCCTGTGCTCCAGAAATAGGGACGGTCTGGTGGAGATGCTTCAAAATAAAAAAAGAATAAAAGCAAACCCAAAATTGTGAAACGCTGACACAATCACGACCCTACATTTAAATAATATATTTGCAATTTGCGACTTTTCGTTAATGATTTAATCATAAGGTAGAATATTGAAATCAGAGAAAGGATCGAGCACGTCAGTAGCGATATAGATTTCTTCATAGATCCATGTATGTTTTATAAAAACACCATAAAACGGCAATGGTGCCGGCCTGCGCTTTCCCTTATTGTCTAATCGAGTGTCTATTGAATACAGTTTAAACGTCACTATTTACCCATTAGTGGCCTTGACATATTTAAAGCTTTTATTTGCAAAAGTATTTAGTAAAGTTCAATATAGTAATGGTTCATTTAAGCAGGGGTACGCTGCAGTTGAAGTTAGGTGGTGGCACTTTAGCGTATCCTCGTATTATTTTTTATAAATTTAAATAAGTTTTGTTGCTACTAGTATAGCAGTTTTTTTATTGATGTTGTTGTGATGTAATGGGCTGTATGGCGAGCGGTCAAAGAATAAAGGATTCGACGCCCAGTGCTTCCGTGAGTAACGATTGTAATATAAAAATTGATTATTAAAAAATATTTTAATATAAATTAATTGAATGATTCTCGATAATATTAACTATATATTACCTTTTTTAAAGATTACTGCCACCTGACAAATATTAGAATCGAGCATCAGAGAAATGAGATGATAATAGCGTATGGTCTCTATCATTAAAAATATGTATTTATTTTATATAAAGAAAAGATTTGATCGTTTGTTTGCATTAGAAGTCCTGGATCGATAAAAAAAAAGACGCCTACTAGAAGCTGGATTGAGCGCGAGAGACAATTTGATAAAAATTGGTCTACAATTCATAAAGAAATCGATAATAAAAAAAAGATACCTTTATACAGAAATTCAACTTTTCGGATTTTGAATGAATGCAAAATCTCTATCTTTTGTTTTTTTCGCTGATAGATATAAGCATATCATAATATTTAGGTGATAGGTATTTGGTGAAAAGCATTATTTGTTTTAAAACAAAATTACCAATTCGATTTCGATAAATTTTATATGGGACCTTAAGCTCTCAAAAAATAAAAAGAAGTTTGTAAATCGGTTATGTATAACATTCTTCTTTTCGATTTTAAAGTCGGTTAAAAAAGTCTAGAATTTTTGTCTGATTACATTGAGTTGGTGACCGTAATTTAATTTTTCTCAATGGAAGCGAAAATTAAAAAACGGCGTTTAAACGCATTATAACTCGGTTCCTATTTTATTATTCGCTGAACGTCAGCAGTAAACTACCTCTCATTAATGGGTTACTTCTCTTGGCTCTTTAATTTTTTATTTTTATATTTGTTATTTTTTACGCAGTGGACGGCAAAGCAAAAACGATCCAATCGTTTAAATTCATATTTAATTGGTTTTTGAATCATCAGTCTGATCTCTGGCCGGACACCAGCGTGAAGGGGGAGACCGTGGTGGCCGCTCTGGTCAGACTAGATGGGGAGATTGCAAAGAGTGAGAAGGTTCAACCAGCGGCTAGGCTCGCTGTCATCACGGCAGAGTTGGAGAGCATACAACAGGTATTATAGAAATAGAAAATTGCTGGATTAGCTGTGGCAATAGGTATCTAAGTATCTGAAATATGTAATTGTTTGTTTTCAATTTTTTTTTAAGTGCTAATCTTTTTCTCTGAATCTCAATCCAGTCTAAGGCCATGAATGAGATCTATACGGTGATACGACTTTGCCTAGAAGGATGAGAAACCCATTAATGTTATTGTGTCAATGTCCCTAGTGGCTTTTCGTGACTATTAATGTCACACGGGGCATTTTATGATTATTGACCCTATTAAAACTTTGTCAATGGTTCAATTTGATATCTCGTAAATAACTAATACTGAATAATTCAAATTTATCTATTAATTTTTTCAAGCTTTATAGTCTTTTTTGTAACAATCAGCATGTTAAATAGATATTCACTCGCTTCGGTTCGTACATTTCGTAGGATACTAGGTGGAAGGTAAATAAGATATTAGCAATAAAACAAATTATACTTATTACGATAGTGATGTTTCATTTAATTACAGGAAATAAAGACATTCGAAGAATCGACAAATGCATCTCCCACCGTTAGCAAAGAAACTTACGCAAAAACACTACATCAGGTAATAGTTGAAAATGGGAGAAGTGTTATGTTATATTAGTATTGATTTTGTTTGTGATTTCTTGGTTCATCTATGTTCACTTGAATATATTGTTTCAGTTATTCGTAAGTCTGGATATCTACAGGCGGCCGATGTTGGCTTCGGAGAACGAAGATTTCATAGCAAATGTCAATCGTAAAGTAATTGTTTATGTGACCTTTGACGTAGTATTGAAAATTACCTAAAGTTTCGGGAACTTTGGAAGTTTCCTGATATAAATAAACAATAAGTTTCCTGATATAATTAGGTAGAATCGTAGTTTCAGATTTTCATTTTTGAATATAATTTTTGTGCTTCTTGATTTTGGTTCTATACCAATAACACGAGAGACAAACAAGAAATAAGATGACTATAAACACATTGCTACTTATGATATACTTATAGTATCGTATTTTCCATCATTTTTTGTCAGGAGATGCGCCGACTGGAGCTGAGCTGGCTTCGAGTAAGATACGCAGAATTGCAGAAAGAACGTCGAGGACTTCATGCGCAAATTTTGCGCACACGTTCATTATATGCGCAATTGCAACATCTTACTGGTAAATGGAAAAAAGGCGATCCCCATTCTATCCCAAACCGCGTAGATTTATTTCGAATATACATCTCTTACAACAAAAAAAGGTGCTCGCGTGCACAGTGGTTAGCATCATGTGGTCATCAAAAGCCGCCCTCGGTGACCAAAAATTTACTCGAGTTCCTCTGTGCTTCAGAAGGTACGCTAAGCCTCGGCTGCTTTTACAGTAGTTAACACCCACCAATCTGCATTGGGCCCGCGTGCGTGGTGAGTCATGCATGGTGAAGTCAGTATAGGCCAAGACTCATCTTTCACAAACGCCGATGTCAGAAGTCATAAAAACTGGCGAGAGACCGATCAAAAGAGTAATAAATTTTGGGTAGGCGAAATACCTGTGTAGGAATCTTGTCTTGTGGCATTCGGTTATCTCTGCTTACCTCACAAAAGTGAAGATATACCAAAATAGAGATATATTAATTTTAGAATGTCATAGGTATTTAATAAGTAGTATTTGGATCTTAAATTAAGTAAACTGTTGCTGCTAAAGAAATATTGATAAACCAGTTTAATAGAAGACTTAAATAAATAGAATGCACTTTTGGTTCACAGAGAGCATATGGAGTGATAGTTCTCGTCCAGGTACACCTCTAGAGGAGAAACTCTCTCGTGCGTGCGCCCTCAGAGATGCGTTGGCGTCAGTGAGTGCTAGACTTCGAGCCGCCGCAGAATACGCCCACGCTGCTGCGCGCTTAGTAGATGATGCTATGCCAGCTTGGAAAATGACCGCAGTTGGAAAGTTAGTCATATTTAAGGTGGAAATCGAGGGTTCCAGTATTTTAGCTTTCAATAGACGGCGCCAGAGATGTTGTCATTAAAAATGCCCGTATTGTTATAAAATTACATATTGTTTTATGTGTAGAGTGGTAAGTAATACTTTTATATGAACGCGTTTACCAGTGAGCGCGTTAAGAATTTGTATGGAGATTTATAATTCTTAGTAGTTAACCCTAGAGCTGTAGTACCGAATTCCATGCTAAAATCCGATTGATTGTGAGCGTAAACATCATAAAAAATATATTACTACGTACTAAACTATGGATTTGTTCTATTTTAGTTTCCAAAATGTCTTTATTTTTAAAGAAAAATGCTTAAAAGATCCTGCAGTCCTAGGTTTTCCTTTTCCAGTATATAAGAATGTCTTATATCATATACAGTATGTTTGTCATATTATTTGATTCCAGAAGCATAAAGTTTCCTTTCAAGTTGATTTTGCTTCTTTTTACTTGTTACTTCGATTAAAACATCTACTCTCAATCAGATGCTGTTTTCTATCGTTGAATAATCGAGAATCTTACACAAAGCTTTTTGAATTTATATTATAACACGATTTTTTTTCGTCAATATATTTGAAGTGTTTCATTTATAATATCTAGAAGTGGTTGGGACCGCACGCTCGCGAGTGCAGATGCGTGCACGTTGTTGGTGCAGGCGCGTTGCCTCGAGCGAGGGGCGCGGCGCGTGTTGTCCGCCCCCGCCGCCCCCCGCGCCGCCAGGTCCCTGCGGCTGGCACTCGACTACGCGTTCACCGACATCATGCATGATCACAAGTGAGATGAGATGGTCCCACCGCGGAACTACATTAGCTTCGCATTGGTTCATTCTGTATTCAATCAATATGCACTTAATGCTCAATCCGTTAACTCTGACATCTTCATACTATCCGGTGGACAAGTCCATTTGTAGGGTCCTCGGAGGTTTATCGTCAAATCAGTTATGTATGAGATACTCTAAGATTGTTCTGTGATTTAGTAATATTAAATATGTGAAGAGACATATTGAAATTCTCTACGTTAGCACTAGTAGAATTGAGGTCCAGAGTTTTGGTACAGGTTTGAAACTGTTATTGAAATTTTCAAAAATACCCATTTCAATCATTCTATAAATTATCTTTACTAATATTATAAAGAGAAAATATTTGATTGTTTGTTTGTTTGATTGCATCGAATATGCTTCGAAAATACTAGACTGATTTTAAAAATCCTTTCATCTACGGGTAGATCAGACGCGGCTGACATAGACTATAATTTACACGTGCGAAGTCGCGGGAAAACAGCTAGTGTTAAATAATCTGTGATTTGTATAGTTAAAGTTTGTGTGTGTTCTTTTTAGGTATAAGAGGGCAACTGAAACGTTTATGCAGTTTAAAGAAGCTCTCGTACAACTTATTAATTCAATACATCAGGTAAATATAAAAAAGAATACTGCATATCTTAAGTATATTTATGTTTTGATATGTTATTATAATATTAATACTCGCTTTTATATAACCTTAAAAGTTATGTTATTTTTTGAAATTATTGTCTGTTAGACAAATGCCCATGGTTTCACTTTCAGATAAAGGGAAATCGATAGATTTGGGAAAATATTTTTTCTATATTTTGTTTCTCTCTGTTATGTAGACAAAATTCTGGTTACAAATTAAATCAAAGGTAAATTCAAGAAGTTTATATATTATTACTTTGATTAATTGTACTTACGTTCTTTAATCAAGAAATTTTAATATTTGTGTTTTTTATTTTTAAAGTTCGTTTATCCTTTTTTTTAAAGTTTTCGATTTTGTTAAATAAATATATTAAAAAAAAATATTATAAATAAGCTATGTGAATCATGTAAATAATTATTAGTCAAAGAGATTAAAACGTTTGATTTAAAACGTAGTACTTAAATTCTCTTTGATTTGATACAATCACTATGTCTAATTGACTTTACGTGACATAAGAAACAAAATGTTTTGAATAGCTAGTTATTTATACTTTGAAAAAACATGTTCAGATCACTGATTAAGTTTTTAAACGTACGAAAGGAATGGCAGTTGCATGCGAAAACAATTGCAAAGGGTGTAAAAAAACCACTAATAACAGTGGAAATATTCATCAATGGCAAATCCGTAACTGTGCCCAACTACTTCACAATCTTACAAGCTTTGCGCAGGGAACGTGTAACTATACCATCCTTCTGCTATCACGAGCGTCTTTCTATTGCTGGAAACTGCAGAATGTGCCTTATTGAAGTAGAAGGCATGTTCAAACCTCAAATAGCATGCGCGATGCCTGTTTCTAAAGGTATGAAAATAAGAACGAACTCAGAGGTAGCATTGAGAGCTCAGGAAAGTGTATTAGAGTTTTTACTTATAAATCATCCATTAGATTGTCCCATCTGTGACCAAGGTGGTGAATGTGACCTGCAAGACTTATCTATGCGGTTTGGTAACGATCGGTCAAGATTTACTGATGTACATTTCATGGGAAAACGAGCTGTCGAAGATAAAAATTTAGGTCCTCTAGTAAGAACAGAAATGACCCGATGCATTCATTGTACGAGATGCATCAGATTCGGAATGCAAGTCTGTGGCATGGATGTTTTAGGAACAGCGGGTAGAGGCACCGATATGCTCGTAGGTACTTATGTCGATAAGATGTTTCTCTCGGAATTGTCTGGCAACATAATAGATTTATGTCCAGTAGGCGCTTTAACCTCGATTCCTTACATGTTTAAAGCTAGACCATGGGAAGTGAAAAGGACAAATTCTATTGATGTCACAGATGCCACTGGAACTAATATTGTGTTAAATTATAGGTATGATAGATTACTTAGAGTTTTGCCAAGAGAACACGAAGAAATTAACCAAGAATGGCTGTCAGACAAGGGTCGTTGGGCAATTGATTCGTTAGAAATGCAACGACTTGTCACACCGATGCGTAGAAATCAAGCATGTTTGGTTACAACCGAATGGGATGTTATCTTGAGATTAGCTGGAAAAATTATTGCATGCGCTAAGCCAGAAAGTGTTATGGCAGTAGCGGGTCCTCACTGCAATGTAGAAACTTTAGTAACTTGCAAAGATTTTTTAAATATGCTTGGATCAGAACATACTTACATTGAACGTGGACTGTATCACACAATATCGGGTGGTGATTTAAGAGCAGCATATTCTTTGAACATAAATATGAAAGATATAGCTCAAGCTGATAAAATTTTGCTTATTGGCACCAACCCAAGATTTGAAGCCCCGGTATTGAATGCTAGAATTCGTCAAGCTTATATGAACAATGAATGTGATATTTATGTCATTGGCCCTGAATGCGAGTATAACTATCATGTTAATTATTTAGGGTCAGATCTTGGTTCAATATCAAAAGCTACACAAGCATTAAGAGGTGCAAAGAACCCTCTAATTTTTATTGGGATTGCTCAAGCGGAAACTGCACACGGTGGAAATATATTAAATAAACTAACACCGGTTATAAAGTCATTTTTAAAGGTACCACCTAATTGGAATATTATAAATTTTATAACTCGGGAGGCCAGTTTCGCTGGGGCTCTCGAAGCAGGCTGGAAATGTGGAGGTCTAGAAGCTGTGCACACATTAAAACCAACCGTATTAATTTCACTAGGAGCAGATGAGATCTTTTATGATTGGAAGCCACCTACAACTTGCACTGTTATTTATATTGGATTTCAAGGTGATCGTGGCTCTGAAGTTGCTACAGCGATTTTACCAGGCAGTGCATATACAGAAGCAGGTGGTATATTTCTTAACATGGAGGGTCGATCACAGTACGCTATGCCTGCTGTGACTCCGCCGGGTAAAGCTCGTCACGACTGGAAAATACTTCGTGCACTCGCTGAATATAGTGGCATATGTCTATATTATTCTGATCATAATTCGCTTTGCTGCAGACTTGCAGAAATCAGTCCGAATTTCACTAATTTAGGAAAATATCAGGAGAAAGTTTTTTGCGACCTTATTCCATCTCTGGCAAATGTTAGAAGTTGTGATGTAGAGACTTTGGACGTGGATATGAAAGTTATGAAAGATTATTATTGTACCGATGTTTTTACATATAATTCGCCTACAATGATCAAGACACAGAAAGCTGCGACTCAATTCGCTACGTCATCTTATGCCGCTATATAGAACAATAGTAGTAAATACCAAAGATTTTTTTTTACTGTGCCTATAACTGATTAAATATTTAATACCAGAATTTTTAATAATTTCTCGATGTTCGAAAAGTTGCCATTTGTTCCCTTAGTAAGTAAGTTAGTTCTGCATATACGTAAAAATATATATTATGGCACGTTTGCACAATTCTTTTAATATTCCAGTCAAAACTAACAATTATGTTATGTAGGAATCAGTTTGTTAATTGCCATTGTTGGGTCCACAGTAATTGGTTTTTCTGAGCTATATTATATACACTATGTATGTAAAGCTAGCGTGATTTGTTTTATGCTAAATTCGCTTATAGGATTAGTCAAAATTCAATAATCAGAGAATATAGAGTGATAATTGTTCTCTTATTAATTTAAACTTTGCCAAGGCTCTACGTGCTCTAGTCTCTATTTGAATATATAATATGAATTTGAACTTATTACAATCCTTGTCTGCGTTCACACCAAACTGACTTTTCGTTCACTCTAAAGCCACAATACGTTAAGCGCAATAACAAATAGCGGGCGGTGGCCAAATCTACGTTTGATGTGAAAATACTCTTTGAGTCGGTGCAAACTGACTAAAAAGTCTTCTCACCCAGATACTTATTAGTAGGTATGCGACGGATCTCCTGATCGAATGTGCAAGATTAATTCTTCTTCTTTTTAATTAATGGCGTTACCCTTGTGGATTTCGCCAGAATCCAGTGTTTCGCTCAGTTTATTTCATATTCAAGTATCTTATAAACTCTGCTTTTTGTAAATAATATTTACGAGTTCTGACGTTCTGCGATATGCATATCGTGTAATGTGTATATCTGACGAAAGATGCGTCGCGTAAGTAGCGCTCGATGAACATCGGAACTAAAAAATACCTACCTAATATGTTATTTGCACAATCGACAGATGATACTTGATACTAACGGGTAGGTTACGACACATACTACGAAAGAGGCTAATAACTAAAAAATATTGACTCTAGATTTATTAATAGAGCTAACAGTCGTATATAAATTGGTTCAGGTACTGCTGAATAATTTGGAGAATCTATCTCTGGCAGAGGAGGACGTGGCGAAATGTCGACAGGAGTTGCGATCGACTAGAGTCAACGACATCGTGCGCAGGGGCCTCGCCGATCTCACATACAAACCTAATGCGTTGACCAACTTGAAATCACAAATAAAATAGTAAATTAATTTTGAATCTAACGTGTATTTTTTGATACACTTCATATACCTAGCTCAACATTTCAGAGTTCTTATATTTTCAAATAAATTCAATTTTTATTTATTTATTTATTGTCCCAAGGCAGGGCTCGAAGCAGCAATCTTTCGCCAGCTTCTTTCAACTGAAATACCGGAGATTAACAAGACTGTATGTATTTTGTTCTATTTTTTTTATGATTATTAACCTCAAAAGGTAAGAACCAACCCCTATAGCAATCATTCGTGTCTGCCTGTTCATACGCTCCAAACGTACTAAACAGAGTTGAAGTTAGTATGTTATTTGATGATCATTGACGATTTGATGACCCAAAGACACTCATATATCTAACTAATAATAAGTAAAGAAATAAATTTTAAACACGAGAGCTATTTTTGGGGGTGAATTGCTAAATCTGTATTTTTTTTGTAGATGAATGAAATAAGAACTTAACATGCGGCATATTAAATGAAAAGCTAATATTCAGGATCTCAAATATATTTCCTTCATAATTCCATGAAAATATTGTAAAGATACTAGGCCAGCAGTTTTCTTGGAACTGGTCCGATTACATTAATTATGATGTAACTTTCCGTAGGTAAAGTAATCAAATCTTTCTACTCCTATTGGTTTAGAAAACAACCCTTTGTTGTTTGGCAATGAGATTTTATTCGTAGTCTCAAAAATATGGCCTTGCAAATTTCCCATATTTACCATTCTGTAAAGTATTAACTATATTTTTTTATAAATAGGCTCAAACAATTAAGTATGTAGGATAATATACAATTAAGTGTTAAAATTACCTTTTCATGAACAAAAACCGACTGGTACTACAGAGACATTTCATTATAGTAAGAATCTGTATAATTCCGTATTATTTGGGAAGAAATAAAACTCTTTACTATAAAAACACAATCAAATTTATTAAATATCAAATATTGTATTGTCTAACACGATTCCTTAACTATCATGTTTCACATCAATATGTTGTGATGCAATGGATAATACGGTTACAAATACATTATAGGTTCAAAGTATATATCAAGAAAAGACAAGGATAAGATAGGAAAGTACAATAAATTCAATAGCATAAGTACAACTATCGTTATTGAATGTTTCTTATTGTATTGTCGAGAAGGAACGAGAATGTATACACAGATGTGCAATATAATCAGGTTACTGCAATACGTCAAATATCTTCAGTTGATTTTAAACTCTATCTAGAAAACATTAAGAGATAAAATCATTGGGAAAAATTGAGAGATTTGTATAACCAGATATGCTGTTGACTGTACAAATCATGTGATTAATAAATAGTGACAGGACTTATTAAAGTCTCAAAAAATATTTACCAGTCGGCATTCTCCCATTTTTTTTTAAATAAAATTATTTTAGCACTTCTTGTCGTTTTATGAAAAATCGAAGTAATGGTGCACTATAATGGATATTAACTATTTTTGGCTCAAGGTAATGTCCCTTTCAATGTATTGATTTGTAGAAGATGGACAATTAAATATCTGAGACTCTAATAAGGACTTCATTAAATATAAAGATAGATAGATAGATGTTACATCAACAAAAAATACTAGTAATGAAACAGAAAAGTCAATAGGTAACGATGAAGGAAGTCGACAAGACATAGAGCACACTCACGCTTATGAATATAAATATATACTTGTCACAATACATGGGCTTAAATGCAAAATCTACAAAAAAAGTGTACACGATTATTATTTTATAACTGCATGATCAGTTAATGGTGAGGTCTTACACACTATGCGTAAAGTAGGTATTTGTGCGCCAAAGCTCTACTTGGATGATCTTAAGCTTTCGATATTCTGCAATGACTACCTGATGTCAAAGAGTTCATTGCAGTAGTCGGTTATGTGTGATTTTTATAATTTAACTTTGATATGTGGCATGATGTGTTCCGTCTTATTTGGTCACCAGAGCTAAAGCTCCATGTAAGACTTAAGTTGGCCAGTTTCTTTCTATCCACCATAATAATGCAAACAAATGTTTCTAACATTGATATGTCCTGGGGTATAGCCAGCCTTCCTTTTGCCATGCAAATAAAAGAACGTTATGATTTTTTATTGAAACATAAAAAAAGTTTTATTATATTTAAAAAGAAAAAAAGTATTTAACGGTTAAATTTGTACCGGATTTAAACGGATCACCAGCAGTTATTGGTTTGGTTTTATCTTATGGCAGAAAGGAATACAGACCTAGTCCTAATATTCAATAACTTATTTTAAATAAGAATACAATTATGAATAACAAAACCTTTACGAGTTAATAAAAATTTGGATCAATAAAGGTATTTCTAGCACATAGCTGGCTGTTTGTTTTGCTGTGAGATAAATAAATACAGCTAACCAAAAATACGTTATTTTAGATCTAAAATTCATGATCAAGAACTACGAGTATGCAGTGTCGTAATTATAACTGTTACTATGATGGTACAACATACTAGATTCGGTTTAAAATTTACATATCTAATGATAGCTTTCCTGATGGTAATCTACGATATTAGTCTCTGCACTACTGATTCAAATTAGATTATCGGAACGACACCTACAAGCTACACACAGTTCGTTTTGGAAATTTTATTTATAAAAACTGTCTAAATTAGTTTTTATTTTATACATATTAAAAACATGGAAGCACTCCTGCGGACAGACTGTTTGCTGGTTTTAATAATTTATTAATTAATTTTATAAAAGATTACTTCAGTTATTAGCGATTTCACTTATTTGATTTTATGACTAAATTAAATGGTAACTTGCGATTCGAATCCAAACTCTTTGATGATATTAAGAGTGATTCTCTTGTCTGCGGAGTAATTTCGTTTGTTCCCTATCCCCGGCAGTCAACTTGATTGATTGATTCATAATTAATATCTTTGAGATCACATTTGTCTGCAAATGACATGCATACACGAAATTCTCCTTTAATATTTGTTCTTTTTTAATATTTAAATTCTTTGCATGAAAATTATCGAGAAGGCATCGAATGCGTATTAAGCACAAATGTTTTCGTGCTTTGAAATTTGAGTTGATATTTGTATTACTTTCGTAAAGGGAACTGAACTATTATATACAATACAATTATATATTTTTTTAGTTTTGGTTTTTGTAAAAAGTCATGAATGAAACGCGATGGTAAGAGTTATTACAATGAACTTACGTTATAATTACAAAAAAAAGGTCCGAGGGTTAACTATTATCTTGCTACAATATTTTAATACAACACTTAAGCGCAAAAGCGTTTAGACACCTTTTTAATATGATTATAGGTAATTGGAGAGATGAATCATGGATAATTTAGAATATGGCTGGTGTTTAAAGCATATTAACTATTGAAAGTTTATCTCAATCTAACCATAGGTTACAATAAACCCATTAACACATTACGGCAAACTTTGACCGTTTCCCTGATACCGCGATGTTACATTATGATCTGAACTTACAAGACTCGGAAACAGTAAAACTTATTTTTAAATAGTATCAACAAAATCAACATAAGGTTGCTATAAAACTTAACTGTAGTTGGACTAGGGGCTACAAACAGACAACAAAACCTTTGAATACAATTGTCCACCGTTAGAGCCGGCCGGCCAGCGCTGGCGCCATGTCCAATATCAACACTCAACTCCGTCTAGTATTTCATTTACACCTTTGTAATCGTCTTCAACCTTCTGCTTCTGAGGCATCTGTGAAACAGTTTATTAATGATAATCGGTATACTGTTTATTGTTTATTTACAAAGAAATAACGTATAAATGATATGTAATTTAAGATGATGAATCAAACACCGTTCTAAGGGATCTATCACAGCCAAAACGTGATTTGTATAATTTCCATAATTTGCTTTTTGTTCCCTTGCCCTCTGTACTTATCTATCTCGATGTCTTGTGCAATAATAGTCAGGGATTGTTTTAGAGGCGCATTTGCTCAACGGCAACTTGGCCCTTGGCATACAATTTAATGATGATAATAGTGCCTAAATTATGAGAGCTAAAAAAAGGGTGGCTAGTAGTATAGCCTAGGGTGGCTAAGCCTGCAAATCTGCTTCTAGATAGCCTGTTAGTTTTACATCCCTCCTATCTATACCTTCAATAACTGCTACGAAATAAGTGTACACAAACACCCGATAGAACAGATCTATTGGGTAGATTTTTGGAATAATCAATAAAAGAAAAAGCCTGTCCACATCTCAATTTAGTCCAAGCTACCGAATCTTGTGAAAACTTATACACGTTTATTTTACGGTATTTATTCTATTTTATTTTTTGGGACTGTACAGAATATCAAACCGGATAATCAACAAGTAGATATCTAAATGACAAATAAGTAAAAATTCTCCAGCTTTAGGTACTCTGAGTATGATATAATCCCCGCAAATTGCTAATGCGTCTGGCCGCCATTTTGATGGCGTAATTGTGTACAAAAACCAGGGGGCCAATTCTACTAAATAAATTTTGTTTAAATCGAATCGAAAACGGATCGAAACCGAATGAAACTACAGTTTTTAATGGTGTATTTCGAAATGCCAATACGTTTCCTAAGAGATAAATTTTTCGTTAATTTATGACGCAACGGAAGGTTTTCCTATTCTACAAAGTGACATAGGTACGATAAAATTCCAGTTCTATATTAGTTGGAATTATATCACATGTCACTTATTAGTAGAATAGAAATACCATTAAAAACTGTAGTTTCGATCTGTTTTCGATTCGATTTAAGCAAAATTTATTTAGTAGATTTGGCCCCCAGTACTGTTAACAAATAAACATCGATTGACGTGTACATTTATTGAGTTGGGTTGTGTTGGGATCAAACACTATTTTTGTTATGTTTTGTTGTTTTCGATTATTATAGGGATGATGACTGGGTAAAAAAATGCAATTCTATTTAGTCCGTCAGTCAGATAATAGAAAAATATTAGATACGTATTTTTTTTACTTCAATTTAACAAGAAATAGCTTAGATAACAGGCATTAAAATTGAGGAGTGGGGCTCGCTACGTCACAGTTGAGTAGAAAACGTACCATAACTAGACGTCATGCGAAATTTCAACTCCATGTATCGCCGTAATTTTATGATTACGAAAAGAATAAAAAAAATACGTGTTTAATATTTTTTAACACTCTACCTGACGGACAAACAAACAAAAATTAGTCATCATCTCTATTGTTTAGTTTTGTTGTCACTCGTTATAGTTGATTATGTTAGCAACCGTTATTATGATTTCCGCAATAAGTAAACCTGATTTCACTAAAAATAAATCTACTTAATGTCTCTCATTTATCTAATTATTATAACAATATTATGAGGATTCTTCATAAATATTTCGTTAATAAATAAATAATTTATTTCTTGCTTCTTGTGCTATCTATACTTACTTAGTTTCAAATGACGTCACGTGGATGTTATTTGGACAAGGTACCAGCGCATTAGCAATTCGCGTGACTTATAAATGAATCCTTTAAATTATACATTTTATAAAATGGTCATTACCTAATAAATCCACGATAAAGCATGAAGGCGCCGTAAAAACTGAGCACAAGCGTTGCCGTCCATACAACTGCTAATACTGAGCTGCTTCCCTCTGTAAACAATTTTAAAATACATATTTCTTGTTTTTCTGAATACCGCCAGTGCTCACTTTGCATCACACAAGGTTAATAATAAGGTTGAATGAATGAATGAATACTTTATTGTACACAATAAATGACAATTAATCGAGTTTTGTGTTATAATCGGCGGGTTTATCGCTAAAGAGCATTTTTCCAGGCAACCATAGTTTAGATCGGACTATTACTTAAATAAATGGTCAGTAGATGGTGTTTTACGTCCAAATGGCTACAAGTTCCCTTGATCAAATTGTAAATTGGGGTTTGAGGGTTAAGTATCCCCATCTTCTATCTAAATGGTTGTTGTTAGAAGAAATTCAAAGGATACATATACATATACCTAAATAAATATTTATTTTTTCTAAATCTGATTACATGTTTTTTTGAAGGAAAAAGCAACATCTTTTGTTTTCTTTACTGTTTATGAATTTTAATTCAAACGTTAATTATAAGATTTGAATAAAAAAAACATAGGTACGTGCGCAATGTTATACACGGCTACACGTCAGACTAGAATTTTAATTAAACGATAATTGATTTTGTATTCTACAGTTAATGTAATAAGATTTAAAATAGAGTGAAGAAATTACACTAATGACCTCATCCTTAACTACACCGCCCCGGGGTGTAATCTCTGTCGGGATTAGTCCGCCACTGGCTTGAACAGACTAGACTGGCCTAATGATAGTATATGGCTGTAGTGTGGAGTGTAGCTGTACTGAGTACTGGCTGACTGACCTGTGTATCCGTCGTGGTATATGTCGCGCGGGTGCGGGGCGGGCCGCGCCTCCACCGCCGTCAGGTCGGGCACCTCGTCCACCTCGCCCGTACAGTTCGCCCATTGTATTGTCACATATCTGGAACAATATTAAAATATGAAATACATTTATCATTATTATCAGTCTACTAATGTCTCCAGTGGAAGAAAAGGTCAAGGGTATTCAAATACAACAGGGAGGACAGCCACAATTTATCATGACGGCCCAGGTTTTGGTGAGTGTCGATGACTGCAGATGCTACCGCGACCTAAACTTAATGAAGTTGACGAAGCAAAGAGGAAATCGTGGTAATACATTTATGTTCTCCTATCAGCCCTTAGGGAAATCGTTTAACCCCCGCATCGCAGACCGAATATATTGACCACTGCGTACTCTAGTTTCTAATTACATACAATACCAGTATATTGGAACTGTATGTGTTTATTGATCGATATCGGCTGGTAAGCTGAGTTCTCTATTCCTATGTTGCGATAGATCTAGAGTGAAGATTTAAAGAAACACGTCGATATATTAAGTAAGAGTAAGGGTTAAAAAACGAAAAGGTCTAGTTGAAAATCAACGTCAGTTCTATTGACAAATGCTGAACTAGATGCTTTTTTGACGCAGGGAAGGGCAACAGTATTTTTTTGGGTTTTTTGTAAATGTTTTCTTATGATATTTTACATCGTATAACTGAAAAAAACAATAGCAGACATCGAAAAGCTAAAATTAAAACGACGAGCAGTTTAAACGCCGAAATCATTGGCGCCCTTGTCGTGACGTCAAAGTACACGACTAGAGAGATTGACATTTTAAAGCAATATAGATTTTGAGTGATTGATTATTATTCAATTACCTAAATCGATTTTAAACTAATCGTTTTTTTTAAGTATAACAGACTTTTTTAATAATCATATAGTTTACCAAATTGGTGAAATAAAAATAACAGCCTAAAACATCATTTACATTTACCAAGACATACTTATACGTGCACAATAATTATTTTCAAAACGAAAACGAAATAATATTGCAAAATATTTATATAGACTTTATTCTTAAGCAATAATTATCTTTAAAATATATTCAACCCTTTTTTGAATCAGACGCATATTTAATATGTCTCCTTGATATCTGTGTGATATATAAATGGATTTGAATGGAAAAAAAAACTGACCTGGAGGGTGTGTTGCAGGGCGTGTGCGCGGGCACGAGCAGCTGCCTGGTGCGCGAGCGCGCCCCCCCGCGGCACGGGCCCCACGCGCCCCACGGGCCCGGCGGCGGCGCGCGCGCCTGAGGCTGCCGGCAACCGCACTCCACCGGGCATACCTCCTCCTCCTGAACACACATTTATGGTTGATTTACTCGTTATTAAGTTGTGTTAAAGGTGAAAACATCGACTACTACTGTCAGCGCCAATTGTCGATTTCATTACGGGCATCCCTATCTGTCAGTCAGCTGTTACTGTCAAGTTGTCTTGGACGTTTGATAAGTTTCAAATTTATTCATTTCGCTTTATGATTTGCTTCAATCAAAAGATCCACGTCCAACAAATATAAAATGTATCTTGAGTATGGAGAAACCTAGCCCATTCAAAATTTTATCTAAATTCCTTGTAATCAATAATAGTCTTAATTTATAAATATCTTTGTTTTCTATCTTTAACAATGTAATCAGATAGACGTGCTCAGAGCTTTTTTTATTTTATTTAAATTCAAAATTGACATATTTGATTATTGTTTCTTTACGTGTGAAGACCACAAACGTGACATTGGCGGAATTGTGTAAATGAAAATAGACCATGAGTTAAAACAGAAGAAGAAGAAGATGAGTTTCGCGCCAATATGCTGGCGGGTTGTTATTCTTGTAAAACTATTGGAATCGGCAAGGTTGATTGATTTTTATATATATCAATTGAATAGGAAAATGTGTCTTTCAGTAGATTAGTATTAGATAGATTTTTAACTTAATTTTAAGTGATTAAGTATGCGTAAACACATAAATAATTAATCAGTTAAAAATATATAAGTAAGTATGTAAGAGCTTAATTGAATGTAAAATAAGAATCTACTTATGAATAAATTAGCCAATACATTGACTAAACAACGTCAATCCATATAAGTTTAATTGGAATGTAAAAGCCGGACTTACATACATAACAATAGTAATAGAAGAACAACCGACTAGAAGAACAACTGTAGAAGATGATGGGTATCATCACAATCGGCTGCAGTGATCAAATGTAATGTAAATTCGGTTTAAACTACAAAATTCTTATATATATTATACTTTATGTATACTGTATAACGATTTCACAAATTGAAAATCAGTACATTTAAAATTTTTGAACATCAAAAGAAACGTCCCTGTTATTGAACCAAAGCATGAATAGACTAAAATCGACAAACTTTATCTTACTTTCCATTGTTCTAAAGCAGCGTGTTGAGAGTCGTCACAAATAATAAAGTTCTCCCATGGTTCCACATACCTGGTAGTACATAGGTGGTGCCACTATCCGCCCTGGCAGGGCGGGGGTGCAGCGCCAGGGCTGCAGGGCTTCAGAGGTTCCGTCAGAGGGTAGCTCGCACCGCGCCTGAGACAAACGTACGCCCCAACCACATGCCTCCTCGGCTTCTTCACCAGTCGATTTCTATAATCATTTATTCAGTCTCTTAGGTTGTTAACAAGCATTCTTGAAGAATCAGAAAGCTGGCTTATCTTATCTGTTTGTAAATAAAGTACTCGTAGATCACGTGAAATAACCATTTCTTGCAATTTAAAGTACATCTTGAACTTAAACCAGCGGAGTGCGCAAGGACTCCTAACGGCTTATGGAAAGCAGTAGTTTGGGCGGCAAATTTAGGTTTTTTTTGCTTGTGAATAAGTAAGGCAATCTTACAGATGTAAATCATTCAGAAATTGAAAATTTGTTCACAAAATAATGATATAATTATGTTTCATGACTTATATAATTTTCTATAATTTTGTTCTGAGTACAAATGAGTGACATGACGTGACCGTTTGTGGAATGTCTAGCCGAATAGTTTAAATTTAATACAGTTTGTAAATTATCATAATAGTTCTTTCACGCAATAATCTAACCTGCACATGACATCCGAGCGAGGGTCTTGCTATGAGTCTCAAACAGGGCTCGCGTGGACAGGGGGCGCGCTGCTCGGTAGCTGGGCAAGCTCGGCCAGGCCATACTGCTGCTGTCAGGTGTTGTCTGCTCACAAGACATCAATATTTCTAGTATTGTATACATAAAAGTACATTTGTTTTCCTGTTACAATAGTTGTAAAATATGTACGTAATGGTTAAAATCCTGGTAAGTCAGGGAGTCTTTATCGTTCTTAAGTAAGGTTACAAGAATTCATGATGTAAGATTTATTTGCTATGTGGGTTTTTTGTGAAAGACTGAACAAAAAAAGTTTCTTTTTATTCATTTTAAGTGTGATAATTATTGGAAGGCTGATTTTTTTTTACACTGAGGTAGGAAGGTGATAAAAAGTGGCAAGAAACGTTTTACATAAATTATGTTCATTAATTTATTGTGTAACCTAGTAAATGGGGGTCCCGTTACCTAGTCCGCCGCATATGCATGGCGGAAGCGTCGCCGCAGGAACAGGCGCTGGTATCCCACGAGCTCCACGTGCCGAGCTCACAATCTACGCCGCAAGGAACGTAACACCAAGATTCGCGTGCTTCTGATGCTGTAGTATTCTAACAAAGAATATGCCTCATCCATGAATATGACACTTAATATGTGACTTTAAATAATAAAAATCTTACAGTATGTAGTAAAATAAACTATTAAAAAAAAAATAAGACTCACTGGACAATACGAATCGTTTACGAATACTCCGTCGCTTCTTAAACATTTCACGGCTCTCTTTTTGGTTCCTTCTCCACATGGAGAACCTCCTGCAAACAAAAATATAGGAACAATATTGAAACTGTGTTGATAAAACAACAGATTTTTTTCATACGGATGATGACTAATTTGCGTTTGTTTGTCCGTCAGGAAGATTATTGAAGAATATTAAATACGTATTTTTTTTTTTCGTAATCAATGAATTACTTTAATATATCGAGTTGAAATGTCGCATGACGTCACGCTTTTGTACATTTTCCACAAAACTGTGACGTAGCTAGACCCAACTCCTTAATATTAATGCCTATTATCTAATCCATTTCTTGTTTAAATTGAAGCAAAAATGTAATACGTAGCTCTAATATTTAACTATTATCTGACTGACTGGGCTAAATAGAATTTTTCCCTGGTTATTCCTATTGGACATTTCGGCAACTGAAAGGGACTATGAATGGGCAGGCTAAATATCCCGGTGCAGATACTTACCAAGTGGCTGGCAGTCGTCCCAGGGCGCCACGTGCCAGGAGTAGGCGTGCGGCGCGCACGGCTCGGCCGCCACCAGGTGCGGGCACGCGGCGCCCCCCTCCGCCGCCGGGCGGA